AAGGCTGCTCTGGCCTGGCTGGAGCATCCCTGCTTGCAGTGGGCTCCGTGGGGCTGGAGCAGCCCCCTACCCATGAGCTACTCCAGCCCTCACCAGTTAACCATTCACATCCCTAATTTGAAAACAATGGAATTGCACAGGTGTCAGGACAAAACTTAACCTGGAGAGTCATTATCACTGCCAAAAAGATCCCAGCTTGACTCTCAGGGTGTGTCCAGACTACAGGATTTTTTTGAAAAAACGTCCCCTGCGTCTAGACTGCTGCTATGTTCTTTCGAAAGTAAATTGAAAGAACGTGGCAGTTTTTTTGACCGCAGAAAACCTCGTTTTACGAGGAAAAACGCCTTTTTGCAAAAGTGATCTTTCGAAAAAAGGCACTATGTAATTCAAACTGTGCATTTTCGAAAGAGAGCATCCAGACCGCCTGGGTGCTCTCTTTCATAAAAGCGGCTTGCTTTTTCGAAAGTACTGGTTGTAGTCTACTCTAGATGCTCTTTTTCAAAAGAAGCTTTTTCAAAAATATTTTTTGAAAACACCGGTTCCGAAAGAGGCTTGCGGTCTAGACATAGCCTCAGATCCCAGGACAGTACACAGAAAAACATCTTTCTGCTTGGAAATGGATAGAATTTGTCCTAGGGATGCCTTTTAATGGTGATTTTTCAGTGCAGAGAGTTGGTCAATTGTCAGTTTGCAAAATGATGCTGCACTTAACAGATCAACAGTGCTGTGTTTCAAAGTGCTGTGCACACACTAATTAATCCATCCATAAGCCAGCCATAGGAGATCTGTAAGTCACACCCAAGTTTATTAATGGTGAAGCAGTACGGAAAGACGTAGGCCTCAACTTCCCAAAGTGTCCAGTAATTTTGCATTCCCAACTTGAGACTTGTGGTACAAAGTTGTGGCTCATGGAAGTTAACGTTTGCTCTTGACTTCAAAGGAGCCAGGGTATGTCTACACTACCCCGCTAGTTCGAACTAGCGGGGTAGTGTAGACATACCCAGAGTGTCCACACTGCCATAGATGCTCTTGTGTGAAAGCACAGCTCGCACATGGAAGAGTGGATGTGTTCTTGCATGAGAACACTTGTGCAAGATGTTCTTGCGCAAGAAACAACAAGTGTAGACATAGCCTAAGAGAGTCCTCACATGAGCAAAATGAATTTTGTGTTGTGCACCAGTATTGAGTTCATGTGGCTTGTTTGGATATGCCACCCAAGTTATTAATAAATATTTTTAACAGTGTCCTGTCTTCTGACAGTGGCCTATGCCAAGTGTCCCAGAGGGAATGAACAAAACAGGGAATCATCAAGTGATCCACCCCATTGTCCACTTCCACCTTCTGGCAAACAGAGGCTGGCAGTTCCTGTTGACTTGATTTGGGATTGTAGGTTTTCAGCACCTTGAAAGTGAGACCCTCCAGGGAAGGGATGCGGGAGGGAGACCCTGGGGGTATGTCTACACTACCCCGCTAGTTCGAACTAGCGGGGTAGTGTAGACATACCCCCAGGGTCTCCCTCCCGCATCCCTTCCCTGGAGGGTCTCACTTTCAAGGTGCTGAAAACCTACAATCCCAAATCAAGTCAACAGGAACTGCCAGCCTCTGTTTGCCAGAAGGTGGAAGTGGACAATGGGGTGGATCACTTGATGATTCCCTGTTTTGTTCATTCCCTCTGGGACACTTGGCATAGGCCACTGTCAGAAGACAGGACACTGGGCTAGATGGGCCTTTGGTGGACCAGTCTGGCCGTTCTTGTATTTTTCTGTTATATTAACTGCATGTAGGCTACTCCTCCATAAACCACGCCTAACGTGTCTCAAAATTAGTGTCAAGTATCAGAGCAGTAGCCGTGCTAGCCTGAATCTGCAAAAGTGGTAAGGAGTCCTGTGGCACCTTATAGACTAACCGAAGTGTTGGAGCATAAGCTTTCGTGGGCAAAGACCCACTTCATCAGATGCTTTGC